TTTGCGTGGTCTATATATACAACCAAGTAACAGTGACTCACCATCAAATCTGATTATACACCATACTTGCTCAATAGATTTAGAGTTAAGTTGTTTATTTCTAACTTCTATTGTAATTATATTACTTCTAGTGTAAATGGCTTTAACTTTTTTTTAACTTTGATTTTATTCTTGATGGAAGTATTTATTTATTATTATTTTTCTGGTGTATCTCACGTTCAGGGTTGATAGGTGTGGTAGATTAAATTGTGCTGGTAGCTAATTTTGTGTTCCCTTCATTACTGCTACTATTGGCATGAATTCAGTGGCTCTTGAGTGCATTTGTTGCTGATTCAAAAACATACTGTTTACTTCTGGTTGATTTAATAAAGTCAATTGAGACAATTTTATTGGCGCGGCGTATATATATATATATATATATATAAATATATATATATATATATATATACATATATATATATATATATATATATACATACATACATATATATGTATACATATATATGTATACATATATATATATATATATATATATATATATATATATATATATATATATATATATATATATATATATATATATATATATATGTCTATATATATGTCTATATATATATATATATATATATATATATATATATATATATATATATATATATATATATATATATATATATATATATATATATATATATATATATATATATATATATATATATATATATGTATATACACTAATTTAAAACATCAGATAATACAAATTCTCTCAATACTTAATAATTTATTTGAAACTTTTGCTGGATTATAGGCACTGGTATCATCAGTATATAATATAATTACAAAAATTGTGACGATTAAATAACAACATTTTATAACAATTAAATATTATTTAATATTAAATATTTTTAAATTGAATTTTTATTATTATTAAAAATTTTAAAATAAAAATTTAAAATTTTATAATTAATAAAAATTAAATATTAAATAAAATATTAAATAACAAAAAAAAAATTAGTATGTAGTAAGTATGAAAAAAAAGAAGCCCAAAAATTTGTTTTAACATATTGTCAATTGTCCAAATTCATACCACTGTACATTAAAGAACATTGATGCTTTTGTATCTCCAAAGCTTCAAGGACTTTTCTTTCAAATTTTTTATCCTCAACTTTAAGTGTTTATCCCATTCAATGTCATAATTTATCATAATCTAACAAGAGATCAAAGAAAAGCATTTAAAGAAATTAATCAAGATAAAGAAATTGATATTTATCCATTTGATAAAGGAATAGGATTTGTGATAATAGAACATAATAAAGCAATTAAAAAATTAAAGAAAAAGATTGGCCCAATAAAAATTATTAGTATTGATCCCACTCTAAATTATGCAAAATAAAGTCTTTTCTTCAAAGCTTGACAAAAAGCAAAGTTTTTATAAAGATGAATATAAAAGCATATATCCAAGTGATCCTGTCCAACACATTTGTATGGACTGATTAAAGCTCAAAAATAAGACAAATTTTATCCAATGAGAGTCAATGTATTAACAATTGGCACACCATGTAATGGAATTTTGAACTACTTTGTTAAAAGAATACAACCGTTCTCAAATGAAAATCCTATTAGATTAAAAAATTTTAAATTTGCGGTTAATTGACAAAAATGAGACAGGTATCCTTTGATAATGCTAACTTATACCCATCAATACCATTAAAAGAAGCAACTTTAATACTTTTAGATCAATTAAATAAAGGTGTTTCAAAAACTCAACTAAACTTACTTTAACTGAAACAAAACAACTAATTGAACTTTGTTTGTGATGTTGTTATTTCTTGTGGAATGGTGAGATTCATGAGATAGAGAATTCAGGCCCAATTAGATTATCTTTTATGGTTGTTTTGGCTGAATCTTTTTTACAATACCATGAGAAAAAAGCAATAAAAATGACAATGACAATAATTCCTTCAATTGATATTAAATCCTTTCATATATATGTAGAAAATAGCCACGCAAGGTTTTCTACTTGAAGCAAGCGGAACAGTTCCAAACAATCCTTAACAAACAACATCCTTCTTTAAAATATACTATTGAAGTTGAAAACAAAAATAAGATATTTAACTTTTTGGATATAACTGTTGTAAATAATACACATGAAAAATATGAGCTCAAGGTTTAAAGGAATGATGCTATAATCAATATCCAAATCAAACCTCATTCTAACCATGATCCCAAAATTTTGAAAGCAATATTCAATGGATACATACTCAGAGCATACTTAATATGCAGCGAAAACCATTTGAAAGATGAGATAAATTTTTTAATTCAAGTGTTTACTGAAAATGGGTGTGATGAAAAAATGCTTAAAGATGTTTCTTATCAGGTTTGAAAAAAATGTTCAGCATATAAAAATGAAATTCTATCAAACTCTAATAATCTTCCTACAATCTCTTTACTATGGATATCAATAATACCTTCCAAACTTAAAAGAATATTCAGAAAAGCTGGTTATAGAACTATCAAATGCTAACCTAAAAACTCTATTAATGTCTAATAATAAAACAAAATTATCACTCAACAGCACCTCAGGAACCTTTTTAATTAACTGCAAATGCTCTAAAGTGTCAATGAAACAAAACATCAAATACGAACAAAGGTTCAACAATACCAAAAGTTTTTGACTGAAGGCAAGGTAGACCTGTCTGCACTAGCTTTGCATAAATTAGTACATTGCAATGAGGACATTGAATGGGATAAAGCAGAAACACTTAAAGTTGAGGATAAAAAATTTGAAAGAAAAGTCTGTGAAGCCTTGGTGATACAAAAACATCAATATGTAAAAACAAATTTTTGGACTTTTTTTCATACTTGAGTAAAAGAAGCCATTATAAAAGTGACGTCAAAATTTAAAATTTTTGTTGTTATTTAATGGTCACAATTTTTGTAATTATATTATATGCTGATGATGCCGTAGTCTATAATCTGGCAAAAATTTAAAATAAATTATTTAGTATTGAGAGAATTCGCATTATCTGACGTTTTAAATTAGTTTATATATATACTCTCGTACAAAATGTCACTATTTAAATATATATATATATATATATATATATATATATATATATATATATATATATATATATATATATATATATATATTTCACCCATATCTTCAGTTGGTGTAGCAACAAGTCCTTTGCATATTTTCTCTTCACACCAGTCACAAACATACACATACATACACGTATAAATGTATTTGTATATATATACATATGTACATATATATATTAGTACATGTATATTGTATTTATTCTATATATATATATACATATTTTCTATATTTACACATACAAGATGGGTGTGGGTATTAAGGCCCAGCTGGTATAAAGCTTACTAATCCAAACTTCAGGAAAATATAAATTGCAAAACTTTTTTTCGACATTAAAATATTAGAGTTATCTGGTTTTATCAGCAAAAAAAAAATCAACATTTCTTTACCGCGCGTTTGACAAAGCAAGATTACTTTGTTGGTTCTGTCAATAATTGCTTAAGTCTAATTTTTAAGGTACGTACGTAAGGTACGTATTTTAACATTTTAAAATATTTTATAATGCTTCTAATTTTTTCAAGTGCATTTATTTGCATTATGTACTTATTCGTTATTATTACTCAACATGTAATATTTTTGCAGGTGTTGAAACAAAAGAATACTTTATCTATAAATGTGGCAGGTCCAAATAGGCTAATAAGGCCCACTAAAAATCCTTGGTCCTTCACCAGCTTCAGTCACCCAACCCAGTTCCTCAACAGCTTCAGTCAATCAACCTGAAATGAATCTTAATGCAAGTTTCAATGATTTGATGCAGTCCTGTAAAAAAAAAATATAGCTACGATTGGTCGCAAAAAAAGTTTTAACTTTGTTGGTAAAGCCCTGACGAAAGAAGATTTTCAATCTTCCACTTCTAAAGCTGTTAATAAAAAGAATAAGGGCAAAGGAAAAGCAAATGTTTCTAAAGACCTGACAAAAGATAATTATTAATCTTGCACTTCTAAAGATGTTAATAAAAAGAATAAGGGCAAAGGAAAACCAAGTGCAAAGAAAAGTCTGTAAGTGTGGATGTGAATGATTGGTTTTGTTTGTTGTGCCAGCAAAAGTCTGTAGAAAGTATGCGACAATGTTGTAAATGTAAATTATGGTACCATGAGGTAGTGGGGTATGATTTTGAAGATGAGGAAGAGTTAGTATGTCCATTCTGTGAAGATTAATGTTTTTCTTTGTAACATTTCTTTATTGAATTTTTTAATTTTCTGTTGTTATTCACTGTTGTATAAAAAAATTGGCTCTTTTAAAGTATGTAAATATGCAAGATTATTTATTATTTTATAAATGTGAGCTAAACTATGCATTAAAAAAATGTTTCAAAACTTTTTTCTAGTTTTTCTTTATTTATTTTTTGCATTTTTTACATAGGCCTTATTACCCCCTGAGGGAGGGTAATAAGGCCCACTTAAGGCATGTTACAAAAACATGATTAACTTTTGTTATAATTATTTTTACAATATGCAGATTACATTTTTACACCAAGGAATGATTAATCTTAAGCAGCAATCAAAAATAAAATTAAATGAACAAAATGAACAAAAGCCTGTTAGGTGGGCCTTAATACCCATACCTACCTTATATATATATATATATATATATATATATATATATATATATATATATATATATATATATATATATATATATATATATATATATATATATATATATATATATATATATATATTTATATATATATATATATATATATATATATATATATATATATATATATTTATATTTATATATATATATACATATATATATATATATATATATATATATATATATATATATATATATATATATATATATATATATATATATATATATATATATATATATATATATATATGTATATATATATATATATATATAAATAAACTGTTTTGAATTCTGAATTCTAAATGCAACTCACAAGTTTTCTTGGAAGAACATCAAGTGCAAGATCATGAAATTCTTTTTGCCCATTAGTTTCGAACTGCAGTAAAACTTGTAAAAACTAAAAAATTTAAACTAAGTTAATAGAATGACAAAAAGAGAATTCATGTTAAACATAGTTTAATTAAACAATTTTGAAGTTTAAAATATCAAAGACTAGGTAACAAATACAACAAAATTTAGCAAGAAAATACAATAAAACTTAGCAATAAAAAAAGAAACTTATTAAAACTTATATTGATATTAAATAATATTGTGCATGAGTGTTTAAAAAGTTAGGTTTTTATCATTTGCAATAACAGTATTTCCTTTTTTTTTAAGATTATTGTATATCCTCTAAATTTGAATTCATTCACCGCATTTTTATTAAATATAAGATATTAGTTGCACATTTATTTTAAAAACAATTATTAATCTCATTTGAAATTTGCAAAGCAAGTTATATGTTGTTTGGGGTGAAAAATAGGAAAATGTGTTTTGTCTGATTTTCTAAAACTAAACTTCTAAAGCTTAGAAACACTTAGATAAAAGTAAATTGAATATATTTTTGCATTGGTGGTAACAATCTCATAAATAGTGATCAGCAAAGTTAACTAAATATAAGATTTTTAAAAATTACATGCCTTTGCAGTGTTATCAGTATAATTTTTTTTCTTAAAATTTATTTATATGTTAAAAAGTACTAAATTATTAACATTTTAAAGATGCTCACAAAAAATAAAACCTTGTGGCTTTTTAAATTCATGATGTTGTAAGCAGAAAAAGTATGTAAAAAAGTACAATTTTCAATATAAATGAACTAGAAAAAAAAGGTATCAACCAAATTTTATTAAACAATGTGGAATAGAGTATATTTTCAGGAAATTAAAAAATTAGCTGCTACTTTTTGTGACAGAAATTTCAATTAAAAGTTGATGCTACCATGTTAAAGAGAGCTTGAATTATTTATAGATAGAGCATAGCATCCCAGCCAATAAACTATGTAGTTTTTTCAGTCCTGCTAATTAACTCAAAGTCATAACTTAGGGTTCCTTATGTGGCCTCAAAAATGCATACCAAAACCACTAACAGAGATACCATCCATGCGCAACACGGCACAGTTAATACTCTAATATTTTACAGCTGTTGATGGAATCAGCCTTTCTGAGAGCTACCACAGAGTTTGGGAAACCTTACTACCAGTGAGACTCAGAATCATTAAACTAAGTTTTGGAGGTGTACTCTCATCAAGAGATAATAAGAAGAGTTGCAAACCTATTATTATGGAGGCACAAGTAAAATTTTATGAGTAGATTCAAGAAGATCCAGTTTTCATCATCTTATGTTGGGAACAGTGTAACATAGGTTTACATCTATGCCAGTATAATAGATAAACAAAATTATTCTGCTTATTCCAAAAGTCTTTTACAAGACAGTAGTTGGATGCAGTTAACATCTGTCCAAAAATCTTGAACAGATGCTAACTGCATTCAGCTACAGTCTTGTCTGTACTGTTTTGTCATCTTGGGCCAAGATGAGTATTTCTATCAAGATACCATCTTTAGCCTTTACTCAACCAAGAGCCCCAAGGCAGGGGATTTTTAAGTCGGAGTTTGTATCTCCTAGCCTTTGCTTTAAAAAGCTAACTCCACAAGGCAACAGGACATGGGGTATGTAGTGCTGGGTTACATTATACCAATAGCAGGATAATTATGATGATCCCAAACCTGACCTAAATTAATTAAAAGAAGTTATTTCTAAAAGCAATACTTTAAAACATTGAATAGGAGTTTTTGGAAATGCATTAAGTAAAACATTACATCTAACAGAATACTGGAAATAAGAGCCAGCTTATGTTATATAGTTGAAGTCACTAGTTAATTACTAAGCTAACACTACGACAGAGATTTAGGCAGAATACAAAAATATATATAGAAATGAATTTTTTTTAAAAAAAAAAAGAAACATAATAGCTGTTTAAATCAAAAACTTGAAATAGATCATTTCTATCATCAGAATCATCACAAACCTCCTAAAAAAGAGAACAACCACAAAATATATAATATAAGTGAACTAAATAAATGACATATATATAAATATAAGTAAAATAAATAAATGACAAATAATCACAGAAGAACATAAAAATTCAATTCAATTGAAAAAATAAGGTATATAATTAGAAAGATTTTTCTTTGTTCAATGTGTTAACTCATGTAATCAAAAAACCAATAAAGTTTAAAAAACATCCATATTTTAAAAATTACTAAATAAAAAAGCTGTAAAATTTGTGCATTTATAAAAATCTCTTAAAATTGTTCTGAAACCAAGCATCATTTAGATGTTTTAACTAAAAGAATAATACATTTTTTGTTTAAGATTAAAAAAAAAAAAAAAATTGGGTTGATATTTTACAAAAAACTATTTTTGACCACCTATTTGTATGAAATTATGACAGTGCAAGCTGGCAGTGTTCGGCTTACACAAATTATATTGCTATTTGGATATAAAACTGTTAATGTAATTATATAAGCTTTTTTAAATTAAAAGTCAATTAGTTATCTTTTTCATTAACTTGGTAAAGTTTATTACAAATATTTTGCTTCAGTTGAATATTAAAAAAAATTTTGTTGCAGTTGTAGTTGAATAAAAAAATTTTAAACCATATTACTGAAGTTATTTGGTGATGGTTTTAGATGTAAAATAAGAGGTTTTCATCAAGTCCTTGAAAAAGTCCAACAGTAAACCTAAAAAGCAGGAAAAAAAAATTAAATAAACTAAAGTATACCTCAATTTGTGCAGAACTACTTTCAGGTTTCAATTCCCAATTAAGAACTATATCAGACAAAATCAATTTTATAGCTGACAAAGTTTTTGATATTTCATTATGCAGATTTGCAAAAAAAATGCCATTCTGATTAAGCGTTTCATTATAAACTTTGATGCATTTCAAGATAAGAGAAAAAAAATGACAACTTTTTTCAGTAATGGTAACATTTTCTAGTGCTTTTAGAAACATAATAAACAGATCATTTACAACCTGACATCTAAATAAGTGAAAAGTACAGTAAATAAAACACAAATTAAAAAAATACAGCATTAAATAGGTATAAATAAAACTTAAAATAGTGAACATTTTTATAATGTATATACTTTTTTTGTTAACGCAATCGTTAACACAATTAAATAAATAAACCCAATTGTCCTAAAAAAAAAAAACTAAAATCACATCATACACCTGACACTTATTGTGTGACTGCCTTATTATGAATGAGCTATAAATTTAACTAAGCGCATTTCGATTTCAGGCAAAGAATTATATAAACAACAAACAACTTGAAATTTTTATATAATAAAAATTAAGTTTTATAATTCAAAAAGTTATGATTTTACTTATTTTACAATTTTATCAAAAAAAAAAAATCTGACAAAAATAAAACAAAAAAAAAAACAAAAAAAAAAACAAAACAAAGATGGATTCATTAATTTGTATAAAATATTTTAGAATGATATTTTTATCTATATATTCATGCAACTATTATCTTTGCTTTTTATTTCACCCTTTAGTTAGATTTTTTATTACACTCCCATTACTGAGTAGATTTTTATATATGCATGTTGGTTCAAATTGAGTCACATTAGACAATGACCTGGTTATAATCTATTATAATTATATAATAATTGTATTGGTATGTTTATTTTTAAAGTTTGTTTTAGTAATAACAAAAAAAATTAATTTTGTTGTTAATTGAATAATTAATTTTATTAAAAACATTGGCATGTAAACTTACCAAATGGTCACACACATACAGCTAATGCTTGAGGGAAGAATGAAATAAATAATGATAAAAGAAAATTAGTTTTTAAAATCAAATTAAGACAGTTAACCAGACAAAAATTAAAACAAATAATAAAGCAAAAATAGACCACATAAACAATGTATACAATAAAACACAAAATTCTTCACCAAATACTGATAAACAAAAGTATAAAACATGTTACCATAACAAAATAAACAAACTTATAAAGATATGGGGTATGAGAAAATAAAAACATCAAAGTTAATATAATGTATAAAAAATAATTTGTGTAGTGTTAAGTAATAAACTTCTCTTTATAAAAGTTTCTATTATTATCATTTAATGAGACTCAGCAGCAATAAAAAGTTTATCCTATCAGATAAATGTCATCGAAACTTATACTTTACATCATAACTTATGCCTGTTCCATACTGCAAAAAGAAACTTTTATAATAATCCTTTAGTGATAATTGTAGTCTAAAAAATGATTATATTTCACTGAATTTAGAAGATTACTATTAATACCATAAATTTCAAACTTTTGATGCAGTATAACATGCAGAACTTTGCCAAACGCCTTCACAAAGTCAAGAAAAGTTAGAACAATTAGTTTCTTTTTTGATTTTCTGAGTCGAGTTCTATAGATGCTGAGCCAAGTGCTATAGTTAATGATTTGTGAAGCCAAGTGCTATTTTAAAAAATTGTAACTTTAAAAAGGCAATTTGTTATTTACCACCTGATTTATTGTGACTTATGTTACTTTTTTTTCATTAATTTGCATGAAGCAGAACTGAGCAATATTGATCTGTATTTTGTTTATTCTGCTGATTTTTTAATAAAGAGGTGTAATTTTAGCTATAACCCAAGATGCTAGAGCTTTGTTAGAGTTTATTAAAAATTAGGAGACCAATGCTAGCAGAGATCCTATTGATGTAACACAAGCTATTAAAACAAATGAACTAATTTTATGATCCCCTATTGACTTGTTTCCTTTAAGTGCTTTATTTGATTGTTTGAGAACAATGTTTTGATTAATAGTTTTGTCTTTAGTTGAAATCCTAGCTTTGAATGTGAAAAGTTTTTACTTATTTACTGCTTTTCTTCACCTTATTTCTTAATTTTGTATACTCCTTGATGTGCAAAACTTTATGCCACATAAAATTTGCATTTTTGTATTGAAGCTTTTTTTTTGGTTTGATTAACTTCTTTAACTCATCTGTATTTCTCTGTCACATGTAAAAACAAAATAATCCTCTCTCCAGAATTTTGTTTTTTAACAGTTGATTTGATTCTTTTAAAATGAATTTTTGGCATGTTTGATTATAAATTTTTTTCTCGCCAATTTATATTATTCAAGTATTTATTTTGTCATATTTGCCAAAACTGTAAATTAATTTTTTACTGGTAAAATTTTTCAGTTTCTTTGTACTGTGCAAAGAAGTCCCAACTAAGCGAAACCACAGATACAATTTTCCAGTAGGCAGGAAAACGACTCTTTAATATTCTCCAAACTTCAGTTTGGAGAATATTAAAGAGAGTTTTGAACTTTTGAAAAGACTATGACAAGAATGTTTTAAGGACAATAAGCTGTAGAAGATTTTAAATAAGAAATAATTTTAGCAATAAAAATTGGAGTGATTTGAATGTCTAGCAATGAATTAACCTGTTTCTCTGGAATAAAAGGTAGATTGGCGTTATTAAATTCAAGAAACGAATTAGAGGAATTTCTTACTAAATAGTATCTTTGGGAAATTTAATAAGATCTGACCTATGTATGAAAGATGGAATTTTAAACTTGGCTTTTTTAGTGACATGATTAAAGATTTTTTACAAAAACCAAATTTCTAAGATAAAATACAAGATTACCATTTTGAGAATAATAGACTTGTGTTTGACAATGTTTTTTAAATAAACTTCTTGCAATAGTTAAAAAAAAAATTGTTCTCAAAAGAGTTGTTTTTGCAAAAAAGATGGAAAAAAAATTAACTATAAATAGCAGTTACAAAATAAACAGAAATGAGGCATTTAAAGATATTTAAAGGCATTTAGTGTAATAAGAATTAAAGGTGCTAATAATAATAATAATACAGACTAACGCATAAAAAAAAAGGACATGATCTATTTGACGAGAAAAATGTAGTAAAAAAAATTTTTACAACAAATTACTAAAAACTCTTGTCCACAAATTTTTTGTGTGCAAAAACAATGTGGGTGCTGCTAATAGAACTTCAAAAAATGCTTATGCCACTGCATATCAAATTAGGCCTCATCAGGTAATCTCAACAAAGAACTAGTACTATTTAAGTGCCTCCAAAATCTTTTTTTGAAACTGTCTGAGACTAAGATTAGAGCAGGTGTCTCTGTCAGACCACAGATCAATAAGATTGTAGAATGTGATAAGTTTGCCAACCAGACAGAGTGGCTTGGAATATTTTTCTTGCAGTTGTTTCATAGCTTCCTGATAAATCACAAGGCTAAAAACTATGTGGGTTTAGATTCTCATAAAGAATTATATCAAAATAGGATGCAGTAGATAGACAGTAAACACAAAAATAATAAGGTACTGCATTTGCGAGCTACTTTGTGATTCCTGGTAAATCTTGCAAATTTACTAATGTCTGAAGCTTTCTTAGTAAGTTTTTTACTGTCTTTATTTATTCAATAAACAACTATTGTTTCTTACCAGACTGAATAAACAAACATTTAAAATTTTTCTTGTTCTGTCTTAAGAAAAATTAATTTTCTTTGTGCTGTTGTCATAAAATCAAAGTTTATTTTTAATGTATTACTATTATTAACAAAAACAGAACTTGCAAGCCCTGATAAATTGAAGGGACTTTGTAACCACAATAATAACAATAATAACAAATATTTTGTATTACTATAAATTATTTTGGTTAGTAACAAGTTGTTTTAATTAAGTATATTTATTAATTAGAAATCTAAAAAGATTAAATAAAGATAAAAAGAATAACGATTAAAAAAAAAATTACTACACTTAAACTTTATTGGTTTATTAACCACTTATCTTCTAGTAATATTATTAAATTGACTTTTGCATTAAGTAAATGTATTATACTACTAACTAGCTTACCTTTTTTTTTCTTTTTGGTGTTTGTTTGACATTAAAACATTTAAAAAAGTTGTACAACCATTCAGCTAAAAAAAATTTAACTAATTTAAAAACTACTAAATTAAACAAAATGAAAAAACAAACTACAATAGATTACTATAGTATAATTAGTAAAATTAAACATTTTGATTTTGATTAGCCTTCAGTAATATCCGGATTAAAATAAAAATTAACCTATAACCACCTCACTTTAGGGGAGTGGGAGTGGATTCTTTACATGGTCAACTTTGAACACTAAAATGTTATTAGATGAAATAAGTCTGTTGATGATCTAGTATTTAGTTAAGAATAATAAAAATATAAAGCTCAGTAACTTATTGATTTTGGATTTTTTATGGATTTTTTTGTTCCCAGGCTCTAATCACAGCAATTTTTTACCCAATATTTAATCTCATATACTAAAAAAAAACTGCCACCACTCCTGACAATATGTTTAATTATGAACAAAAATTGAGTGCATTCAAAATATAACTTCAACTTACATCTTCAAAATTTTTCTTTGATGATAAACGAAAAGTCATCATATTAATAAGAAGATTCTCCTTAAAATATC